CTGGGGTCACAATGTAAGTTCTGCGAGGAATTAGGATTCCTTCCATAAAATTTTTAAATTTGTACTTCTCTCAGACAGTGCAAGGTTCAGGGAATTGAGTTAGAGACTCTGGGTTGTACAAGAATCGGGTTGAGTGGCATGATGTTATTGTATCTCAATACTATGGAAGTGTAAGTGTTTTTGTAATGTAGGTGAAGTATCTGTTTAAGTACTTGTGGAAACAGTTACATTAGTGAGTGAAATTTAGATGGTTTAGGTATGGTATTCCCTTCATGATGTAAGCAATTTGTTAATCTAAAATATTTTTTAAAGATGAAATTCAATTTTTTAGAACTTGTCTCTTCATCAATCGACTGATGTAATGAATAAGAAATAACTAGGAATATAATAAATGTCATTTTAAAAGTTAAAATGTTTTTGAAAATTTGTTGTGTTGAAAAACTACAATAAATGAAAGGTATGAATGGGGATGCTCTGTACAATACGAGTAGTATCTCCAACAAAGTTAACGTCAAAGAACTTTCAACGTGATTGCTTTTTGCCATGGTGTTTACTTTCATTTTCGCCCATTTTACCACAGATTACTTTAGTGTAGCCTACGCGATGCTGCGAGAGTATCTTGTAAGCCTCTCGCAAAGCGCGTGGGAGTCGAGGCAGCGAGTGAAATATCTTTGTGGGATCTAGCATGATACAGGTATTGGTGTGATGCCCACGAGACGCATGGCAGCAGCTCCTACAAGAGCCTCCTTAGAGGCTAATTTCAGTGGTTGTCCACCCAAACAAAGCTGAAACAAATTTGAACGCTCAACAACGACCCCAACTGTGAAAGTCCTTACACTTTTAACCAGCACTGTAGCATTTACGATGTACATGCTTATTTGTTCCTGTGAACCTTCAGCAATTAACACACATCGTACACTTCATTTTTATGTGTTCTTTATTCTTGGAAATTCTTTCCCAGGATATACCACAAAGAACAGGAGAATACAACTATCTCTTGAAAAGAGAACATCACTCTGGAAACATATTTTCGCTGCCAAATCGGAATTTAAAACAGATCTTACCGCGTTGTAGTTGCAAATCGCACAACAAACGTATGCAAAGTCAACTCGGTTGAATTTTGACAATTTGTCTAGATCTTTGGTCTAATAAATTAAAGAGTTACGTTTTAAATAAGTCAAGTGTTTAGAACTCTACCTTTTATTATTATCATTATTATTATATATCTATTACTTATTATATATCTATATTATATATCCATTATCTCTATTATTATTATTATTATTATTATTATTATATATCTATTACCTTTCCTGAGCAGCCTTCTATATAGGGTTCTAGATTTGCCATTCACCTTTCTCTTTTCTCTACAGTTTTAGATATGCTTTTAGATACACTTATCAGATTATTAGACTTTGAATCTGTTCAGATTTGACTCCGTTATTTATAGTTTTCCAGACGCTTTGACATTAAAAAAAAAGGAGTAAATGTGAGCCAAAAGTGAGTTATTTTGGATCGTTTTTTACGCTGTTAATATTTTGTATCTATTACTATTATTATAATTATTATTATTATTATTATTATCATTGTTTTAGTATTATTCTTGAAGTCTCCCGAGTTCCATGCAGACGTAATTCAATCCTTGGCTTCTGCTTGACTCTGCAGTAATGTATCTCGAAGATGCTTTGGAGTCGGCAACATGGGTCCTAAAAAGAACAGGAAATAATGCGCATGTTTGTGACAGACAGACGTATTGCACTTCAAAGGTGTGCAAGGGCGACTCAAAAGGGATCCACTGGGAGGGGCAGGGGACGTGCAGGTTCCCTGGTAAACTTCACCGTCTAACCGTTCGCACCGCTTGCCAGATTGGTCTCAGTTTTCTCGACAGCACTGAAATCTAGCCAGTTGATGTGTTCTTTTGGGTGTATTAAGTTCGGCACGATATCTCTTTACTGAAATTTTGGTATCTCAGTTTCATATGTATGAAGCTTTCCCCGTAAATTAAACTTATTAAATTTCTTTTAAAATTGCAACAAAATGGGTAGCAATACCGTTACAGCCTCTAACAATACTAGTTGTAAAATCTCCTTAGAATGTACAAGTAACTTGGCAGGCAATCTGTACGTACGTAAATCGGAATCACCGAAAATACAAGGTATACATTTTCTCGAGAGGCATCCTACCTTCTGTGTAGTGTCCTTGACAATTTATTGGCGCCGTTTTCTGTGTCATCATAATCTGTAAAAAAATAAAGGGGGATGACACGGAATACTTGTCAGATAAAAATTCTGCTGGTGTGGATGACTTGAAAAGGGCAATCGCCAGTGATATAACAAAGAGTTGAAGATAAATTTTACTCCACTGTGAGCATGTTTCCTCGACAACTTCACAGTTCCTTCTTTCGTGAGTGTGTGTTCATCGAGATGTGAAGCAGAGTCACTGAAGGAGGGGAGCTTTGGGATTTTCGGTTTTGACTGTTTTTAGATCGGTTTTTTCGGTTTTTGGGCCTAAAAGGTTCGGTTTTTCGGTTTTGATGTTCAGAGCGGTTTGCGGATTTTACGTGTTTTTGTATTCCGTTTTCGGTTTTCGCGAAAACTCTGATGCGGTTTTCGATTTTCCCTTTTTGACCCCTTTAAAGGTGAAAATGTAACGGTTTTGTCAGGTTTGCATGCGGTTTTCGGTTTTGCCGCCTTTTTTCGTCGGGTTTTCGTTTTTTGAGGTTTTTTCCTCCGGTTTTACGGTTTCCCAGAGGCCCCAATGCCCCCCGCCTGAAGGCAAAGCCGACAGCTATTCTAGCTTTCAGAGTGCTTTCCAAACTTCCCAAGTGCCTCACATCTCGATCAACGCACCGCTGACACGAGAACCGATTGCTTTGCAACATTTTCAAAGCAGTTATTTGATAGCGTTTGATGAAAAGAAAATCCCTCCGCTCCGCTTTAGTGCATAAATTCACGACATAAGGATGCACAATGAGAAATAACCCCAGTTTTACACGAAAACACCAGGTATGTTACGATCAACTTTGTAGGATATCTGTGTCGTAAACATGTTGCTCATAATCAAAACTCAACCCCAGGGACATCTAAGACGTTGTGTAGCTCACCTTAAAGCAGGTTGAAGCAAAAAAGGAACGAAGATCGCTCTGAACAACATTTTCAATGAAACGGCGTAACGGTAACATGTGCGAGTTTGGTGCAGTCCTGTAAAAATGAGCAAGAAGAGGTTGATATTTACAAGATTGAAAAAAAGGGGGAACAATACAGCAACACCACCAATAACCACAACTTTTAAACTCTCTATGTATTCCGTTAACCAATTATTTTAAAAAGGGAGTTACTTTCTACAGTAACTGTGGTCCTGCCTCGGTACGGGGCATTATAAGATTTTATCAACTGAGTTAATAATCAAACAACGACTATATGAAATTCATATGTCTGAACTGCGGTTATAGAAACGTATTTGTGCACGATCCTCGCAGTAAATAGCACTGTTTAAGCAATAGTGAAGATCAGACCTGAAAAAATTTCAGGCCTATACGGAATTCGAACCACTGACCTCTGCGATACTAGTGCGGCGCTCTACCAATTGAGCTAACAAGCCAACTGGGAGCAGGTCATCAAATTAATTCGACATAAACCCGTAAGATGATAAATCAAACGCAACGAATATATGAAATTCATATATGTGAACTGCGGTTGTAGAAACGTATTTGTGCACGATCCTCGCAGTATAGAGCACTATTTAAGCAATAGTGAAGATCAGACCTGAAAAAATTCAGGCCTGTACGGGAGTTAATAATGTAAAATGACCATCGTAAAGAGTTCCTACAGCTGCAGTTTCGAGCGTTGGCTATTCGTCAGAGCGAGCCAATTATTCAGTTTTGATTGTCGCCTACCATTGCGTCAAGAAGTCTTCCACCATGTGGTGAATGCGATCTGGTCTAGGAAGAACAACTTCTTTTGTTTCTTTAGGTAAAGCTGAAGAATAAGAAGAAAGAAAATATCAAATGGAGACATAGTTTGATTAGACGTCAAATTCTGAAGCTGAAATTATGAGAGATGTATGGCAGATGGTAAATAAAATCACGGGTGACATCCTTAAAGTGAAAGGGTCAAAACGAACAAAGGAAAACTTAGAAAAAGTTAAAGAAAGAAAAGAAAAAAACGATAAAAGAAAACCACGAGTGTTACCTGTGGGAGGTTCTTTATAGAAGTACAGGACCGGATGCAGAAAGTTTGATTTATGTGCCTCTCCTGGTTCCCCTGTGGCACGGTCTGCCTTAAACGTGTCTTTGCTGTGGTAACAGCAGAGAAATTATCAGCAGACAAACGCTGACACAATTGCTAATTCGAAGTTTTTATTTTTTATTTTTAGCTCAATTCCAATTTCAGAATAAGTTACGTAGAAGCTTACTACATTACAGAAGGCAGAGGAAATTAAATCAATATCTCGCATGAGATGGAAAGACAGTCATGCCAGCACTACTTTTGAGTAAAATCATAAATCGGAAATTTTTAAGCTTTTCACTCACCCAGCTCCAGAGAAATCTTTGCCATACTCCATATTGAGAACTATCATTGGGCCTGCTGGACGACCAGTGAACTCTGGCGGAACAAAAAACATAATTTTACTTAAAATTGACAAATTACAAGGCGAGTCCAGCAGTAGGAGAGCTGGTGGGCCTAAAGAAAGCCTCAAGAAGAGGCGCAACGACAGCAGCAAAGACGAATCTTTTGAAGTTTTGCACATCAGTTATACTACTTCGACTTGCGACGTGATATAATTTTGCTTAAATTAGCCTGCGAAGCAAGCCCTGGGGGAAAGAAGGGGGGATTTGGGGGAGCGGGCTTCCTTCGCAGGCAAGCTTAAATTAGCATGTGGATCTCTCTCGTTGGGCGTTTTCACAGGCCGCTCAAACCCATCAACACGGAAATCCATAAATTTGGGTTTTCTTTACTGCGCTCTGTGAATGGTCCAGAAAAACTCGGGCCACCCTCTCTAACAATTAAGTCAATCACCACTTAGGCATTCGCATTTTTCCGCGCTTCCAGCAGTTTTCTTGTGTTTAACAAACTTAAAAGTTCTCATTGCCCCTTGTAATAACTCAATTGGGCTTTGGTCTTACCATACAGTCGAAAAGTTCCTTAGAGTGCGTCACTTTTGGCACAATCTGACGCTAAAGGGGCAGTCTTTCGCGCAACTGCGCAACCACCCCTCACCTAACCCAACATTTACCCCAACTCGTTACAAGTTGACTGTTGTTGGGTTAGGGGAGGGAGGAGTAGGTGCGCAATTTCTTAGAATCTGACATTGATCCGAAATATCAGATGATGACCAGCTCGAAGCAGTACTTCGTTATGGTCTGTGAGAGACAGCAGATCATGACAACATTACCTTCAAATTGATGTACAAGTCTGATTGGAAATTCCTCGTAGTATTCTACTTTTCCGTTATCACCTGAAGAAAGAAATATATCTTATTACAGTTTGGAAAAGTCCCCCGCACAGTGTTGTAAAGCGCATTAGAGCATTTACATGGAAATGCACTATAGAAATTGATCTATATTATTATTATTATTATTATTATTATTATTATTATTAACCA